GTAGTAGTAGTAGTAGTAGTAGTAGTAGTAGTAGTAGTAGTAGTAGTACTTTGCAAATCTTGTGAAAGAGAAGGACAAACGGAAGCCAGAAGTGATTTATAAGCAGCTGTTTGGAGCTTTGAAAAAGATGAAGCTTGAGGGAAATCCAGTGAAAGGTTTAAAAAAAAGCATGACTACACAGGAGAAGTCCCATCATTATTTTACATGAGTTGCATGCATAAGGCATTAAAAAAAGGTCAGGGTTTAGATTACATGGTTGCAGCCACCTCTTTAACAATTCAGAAACTGATGTTTCATTTCCATTCCTGCGTGCTTTTTTTAAAGAGCTGCAAGGTCCTAGATTATTTTACTGCAAAATTATGAGCCCAATTGCCCAAAACTAACTGTGTTCTAATTAGTGTATTGATTTAGGAAGTGCAAATGTGTTAAATTAGTTTACAAAAGTAAAATGAAACTCATTCATTTCCAACGTGATAACACATCTGCACATGTGTGGATTTGTTCCTTCCTTTTAAATGAATACATCAAGACTTATGTATTAGCATTCTGTTACTAAAGAAATTATTAATCATGGAAGTCTGATTTATAAACCTCTGGTAACATGAGCTTTTATCAACAGATTCATAATGGTAAAACACTCTCTTTCTTTCCATTGCTACAAGTGAATGTTAAATTCCTGTAATGCTGAAAATATGATAATACTAGCTTTATTTAATGCCCAGGGAGAGAATCTTATATTGGACATTATAAAAGATAGAAATGCTATATTTACCAGGAAGGAGAGGACTATGAATTTAAGATGACCCACTCTATTCAAAAGAATTGGCGGCTTCTCTTACTATATTCTCTGTGAATTTAGGATGATCTTCCCACTTTTCAAATAAAAGATTAGAAGCTAAAAACTTACTTTTCTTTTGAATGAATGCAGGAGATTTAGAATCTCATTTCTTAAGTGCAGGATGGTGAGCCTTCTTTTACATCACTTCCAAGCTGGAACATCTTTAGAAGGAGGTCAAAAGTTGAGATGGCATCAATGACTATTTACAGTCAAAGTCCTGAGCAATCAACACTCTATAAAGAGCAGGAGGTCACAGCCACCATTCCTGATTTTTGACCCCTCCTTTCCCCCTGGATGCCTATTTTCCAAGTCCTTCGCCATGCCTTTAGCTGCCAAAACAAATAGTCCTTGACTTACGATCATAGTTGAGCCCAAAATTTCTGCCATTAAGTGAGACATTTGTTAAGTGAATTTTGCCTCATTTTACGACTTTTTTTTCCATATTTGTTAAGTGAATCACTGCAGTTGAAAAGCTGTTTACACGGTTGTTAAGTGAATCTGGCTTCCCCATTGACTTTGCTTGTCAGAAGGTTACCAAAGGTGATCACATGACCCCAGGACACTGCAACCGTCATAAATATGAACCATATGCCGAGCATCCAAATTTCGAACATGTAACCATGGGGATGCTACAATTGTTGAAAGTGTAAAGACGTTCATAAGTCACTTTGTTCAGTGCCGTAACTTCGAATGGTCACTCAATGAACTGTTGTAAGTCGAGGACTATCTGTAGAAAAGAAGTCAAGATCTTCATTTTCAATCTGGTCTTTGGGTAGGGTTGATTTTTATCAAGCGCCAGGAAAATCAGGATATTCAGGAAGTTCAAAGGAGTATAAAGACTTATTGTAAGTGTAAGCTCTCTACAAGAATCTGACCAACTGGCGGTCAAGGGAAATGTGCGGGAGATAAGAGTGGCATTCAAGGTGGGTTGGACTTAGCTCTCTTGCGGGCGCACAGAGACACATTTTATCCCTCTTTCAGGCTTAGCCTGGTCATTTCCTACTATTTTTTTTTAATTTAGCTGCTGCTTTTGTGGTTCAATTATTTTTTAATTGTTTTACATTTGCTTTTGTGTGTTTATTTTTTGTTAGTCTCACTGAAAGCATAAATTGAAATAAAGGTGGTCCTTGATTTACAAACATTCATTTAGTGACCGTTTGAAGTTACAGCGGCACTGAAAAAGGTCTCCAAAATTGTGACTGTTGTATCCTCCTTACGGTTATCTAACAGAAATTCAGTAGTTTGGCAATGGACATGTATTTACAACATATCAGAGGTGGTATTCAGCAGGCTCTGACCAGTTCTGGAGAACCAGTAGTGGACATTTTCAGTAGTTTGGAGAACCGGCAAATACCACCTCTGACTGGCCCCGCCCCCATCTATTCTCTGCCTCCCGAGTCCCAGCTGATCGGATGGGTCTTCTTTTGTTGCCCTGCACAGGAGAATGGGGCTGGAAAGCAGGTTGGTGGAGTGGAGAGGGGATCGGATTTTGCACTATCCTTCCCCTGCCACGCCCGCCAAGCCACGCCCACAGAACAAGTAGTAATTTTTTTTGAATCCCACCACTGCAACAGATGTCACGTCCTGGGGTCATATCATCGCCATTTGTAACTTTTCAAGCCAGGTACTAACAAGCAAAATCAATGGCACGAGCCAGATTTACTTAACAACATAATGATTCACTTAAAACTTCAGTGATTTGTTTCTGAGCTATGGCTTGCAGTATTGAGCATGATTCACTTAAAAACTACCTTGCTTAGCAATGACAATTCTGATTCCAGCTATGGTTGCAACTTGAGGACTAATTGTAATAATAAAAGTTCCAAATAGAGAAAACTGAGTAGATCTTTGTGTTGTTACACATACCCTGATCTGATAGCGGCAAAGGTCCACTACCTAAAAGTTTAGCATTAGGGCAGAAATATGATTAGCATCTCACTACTCATCCATGTTTGCTGGTACGGTGGCCTCACAGCTTTAACTTTCTGCTTCTGACTTCTAGATCAGGGATAGAAACTGCAACAGTATTTTTAAGACAAGTCTGGAGCTTCTGGAATAGCATCCTATCTGTATTAAAATAAAAAATAAAAAAGCCTATTAGATTATTTCCTAGAGAGTCTTTTCATTGTACTTTGCACTTTGAGTTATAGTTTCAAGATGTTTGATATGCAGAACAAGGAATGATTAATGATAACTGTCAAAATAGCATTTTACTACCAATCATTATAAAAAAACTAGGGATAAGCCTTTTTAAATTCTTGATCAGTTCATTCTCTGCATTTAGATTTAGCAGTGAACTTGAGCAAAAGTAATTTGAATGTTTCTGTGCTAACTTGCACCATGGAAAATATTTTTTAGAAATGCTTTTTAAACTGACGTGTGTTTCCGTCTCAGACTTTTGTGAATCAGGGTATGTATCATGCATTTTTTTCTTATTTGGTCACCCAAATTCATTTTGGCTACTATTTTTCCTTTTCCTTTTGGAGTTTATAATCATTATTATTTCAGCAACAATAAAGCAAGCACATCAACAGCCATCAAAGAAATAAAAAAGGGGGAAAAATACATTACCCATTCAGAATAATTTCCCACCAAACATAAATGTTATTCAGGCTTTGAAATGGATACTGATTCTTTAAATTCTTTCCTGTCTGTTTCAGGAAATAGAGATCATGTTGATAACTAAGTACAATGTGTCTAAAGTTCATTTCTAAACACTTGGCTTTCTGCTGTGAAAGTCACCTACGTCCCTTTATAATTCTAAGCCACTAGAGATGTGTCTAATCTTGGAGATCTGATCCAGTGCTATCATTCAGAAAAATCCTCAATAATAATTCTGCCATTCATTTTTTATCAAAGCACTAACCCTGTCCTCTTCCTGCTCTTCTTCCTCTCCATCAGTCAGGGAATAGGGTTTCTCGATTTGGAGATCAAATTAGTTGGCAAATAACGTTATTGCTATTAGTTTTGTTTAAATTCTTAATCAACAGAAGCTTACTGGGCTATGTTTGTTGCCTCTTTTCACCCACAGAAGCCAAAGGCTCCCCTCCCTATGGTGTTGACTGCGGGCCCAAAGTGGTTGCTGGATATGACTTGGCAAGGAGTAGAAGACAACAAAAACAACTGCATTGTGTACAGCAAAGGTAAATCCAAGCTAATTTTTCTTCCTCTTTCTTGGTAAGGGAATTAACCCAATGCTGGAGAAACATGCCAGTTGATAACAGAGAGCAAATACAGGCAGCAAAGATGAGTAACTCACGTTTCTTTATTTCCACCTTAAGAAAGGGAGAAGGGAGTTTTGTTCATGAGCATGAAACAGAGGCATATATCATTCAGTGTTCAAACAGAATATTTTAAAGGCACAGATCTTTCTTCTACCTGATGCATTTTTTATATAAAAAGCTTGCCTACTTCACTTGCAACACGAGCAGTTATCCTGATTTTTCCCAGATCTTTGATTTCAAGTGTGGCTGGTTTAAATGCAGCAGCTTTTTCATTCTTCTTTTTTTCTAACCTAAGATAAATTTCCTGCATTGTATTAAGCCATGAATCTATTATGAACATTCCTTTGAGTTTTTAAAAGAGGTTCACCCAGTTGCAGTTTTAACTTAATAGCAAAAAAAAAAAACAAAAAAACACCTACCAGTTGTGATTGGAAATAATCATGTTGTTTTGGAGAAAATGATTGCAAGAACTATGATTTCAAAGGTCCTGAAAACTGAAAGATTGGATTGATTATGAATCAGATTCCAGCTTTGGCTTGCTGAGTATATGAGTTATCATGGGTAAAGATTACTAAACAAAGCAGTTCTTGTGGATTAACCCCATATTACGTTTTAGAATGCTTAAAAGTATAACTGGGTAAATTTCCAAAATGAGTGATCAGAAGAAGAATTGGGTTTTAAGCAGATACACCAAATGTTAGATATAATTTTACAATTGCATTGTAACCTCAAAGGGATTTCAGAATGCTGAGATTCTAGTTATTGAGATTTATGGGGGAATGAATAAGTAACAGGAATTCTGAGTTAACATGCTATTGGGGAAAAGACCATTTGGAACAAAAGCAAACCATTGGTAAACAAGGGAACAATGGGATAAAACTGGGAATTAATCTTCACTAAATTGAATTTTATTTCCACCCTTATCAGATTTGTTATGGTCATGTTTGAGAAAAAACAATGCATATTGAATATGAATATGAACTATATACACGGATCTATGATATTTGAATGAGTAGTAAATTTATGCATGACAAAAGGAATTGGACCAGATATTCTCCAGTTTTGTGGGTAAACTTTTCTATTTATGATTCTAATTCATTTTTTTCTTTCTTTAACTTTTAATATTTTCAATTAGGCTTACATTTCAGGTGCTATAAATTCTCAGTTTCAGTGTTCTGAAAATGAAGACCTCTATGATGTTTTTAAGTTGTTTTTTTAAAACTTCCTAATCAAAATCTCTGCAAAGATGAAAGATTCGTTTATTGTAACAACCTTGTGACCATTTCAGTGTACAGTGTACAGGCAAATAAGGACCTGTATTCCTATATTAATATTCAAAGACAATTAAAACATCAAGAACTATTAAAACTTACTAGGAACAATTATATCTTATTATAATCATTGCAAATTGTACATTTTTAAAAGGATTGCTTTTAGACTACGATGAGTTTGAAAACTGAAACATTGAAAACAGAATTTACATGAGTAATTGTACAACAGGATCTTAAGTATTTTTTATGATATATAATTATATAAAATAGACATGCACAAGAGTTTATAACCTGGAAATATTTAATTAAGGGAACAAACCCAAATACAAAACGGAAGACTATATATATTTCTTCAAGTCTGCTATGATACATTACTTTAACAGCAGAAAACCATACTGACTAAAAATAAAATAGTACAATATTAGCATATATTATATTTTAGTATGCATCTTTATATTTCTAAATAAGTTATTAATGACAATTTATATAAATTTTTTGCTACAACAGTCTAAAATGAAATTTAAGCCATAAATTTGTTCACAAAATTTCATTACCAGATTTCTGGACTTTTTCACCAATACCTACTTAGTCCTGTTTGGTTCTTTTATACTGTCACTTTTTAAAATCTGATTCAGCAGTGATAAGGCTGCCAATTTCTGAATATGCTCTTATCTCTAAGGCAGATAACATGATAAAATCGTTCTTAGATTGTACCACTTAAAGTTGATGAAATGTTTTATTGTTAAATGAGTGTGCAAATTCTTGAGTAAAAATGAACATCTCATTTTAATTTCAGCATTGTTATATGTACATTGCTTTTTATTTAGTTAACATATAGGCTGAAATAATATTAATGAGGACATCTCACAAACTCATGTATTATGCATATAGTAAGACTGAACTGTTCATGAAAGTGAATGGATCATCACTTTTGTGCAGGATTCAATAAATTTGGAAGACAGTGAAAAATCAAATTTCATAGTTAGACATGGCAAAATTCAGTGCAACTGGATATGGTGACAGCAGTTGCATTTGATAGTTTTGTGGTTCCTACTGGGTAACCTTACTGTTTTCATCAAATTTAAAATAGTAAAATATAGGTGCAATATGACAAGAGTATTATTAGGATGATGACTTTAAGCCACATTTATTTGTTTCCAGGAAGAATGGTTTTTTTTTCTTGTGGAACATGAAATGTTACACTTTATGAACCTTGGTCTGATCTCATAAGGCTGTTCTTATACTTTGAAATTCTGATCATATATTGTCTAATCCACGTAATGATACTCATGCAATCCTCAAAATGAAATTTGTACCATTTGATTCATCTCAAAATTAGATTAGATTTAGATCTCTGAATAGAAGGCTTCCATCTGTTTAGGGAAAGCAACCTCTACTATGTATTCATACTGATGTGGAAACCCTTTCAAGTTGCTTAGAAAATAAAACAACAAAAAACATGTAATGAATAACCTGGTTTGCATAATATGTATCCGGTTTCAGTAAGCATTCTGACCATTTTTGTCCTATTCAAAACAGACTGTAGGTAACAGCATATTATTTCTCGAATTTTATTGTTCTTCACTGAAGAACTTGAAACTTTATTTTGATACAAGCCTTTCAGCAAGTCTTCCTATATTCTTAAAATGCAATACATGCTTAGTTGTTTGAACATACCAAAGTATTTTTAAATGAAAAGTACTAGTTCCCTATAGGTTGTATTTCACAGCATCTTTCCTAGAACCATTCAAGTTTTTTTGATTAGCATATTAACAAAAATACTTAACCTAGATTTTCTAGTTTAGTTTAAGCAACTTTGGAAACTCTTTTCCAATAGGAAAAAATATTTACTGATATGTCTGAACAAAAAATAGGTCATCAGTTTGTAATGTATTTCTGATTTTGTCAATGTTTTTATTGTTTTAAGTTTATTTATTTAAAACAATAAATAATAAATATTTGTCAAATGTATATGATTACTCAACTGATAAGAACTGCTTCTGAGTGGTATAAAGCAAAACAAAAAAAGTTTAAAAACAATAAACACATGAATCACACTCATCCACAAGATTTGTTCAGCAATGGAAAAACCTCAAAATCTCACTGAGCCCCTGAAACCCAAAGGCCTGATGATAAAGCCAGATCTTGAAGGACTTCTGGAAAATATGGAGGGACAAGAATGACCTCACTTCAGGGGTGAGAATGTTCCATAAGGCAGGTGCCACAGCAGAGAAGTTCCGATCTATTTGGACCCACAAAGTTTAGTTCCTTGAGAGGCACAACACACAGTATGCCTCTCTTGCCAGATCTGATGAGATGAGCAGATGTAATGGGGAAGAAATGGTCCTTCAAATAAACCAGCCCTGTACCTTGAAGGGCTTTAAAGGTCAAAAACACTCTCTGGGAAGCAAACTAGCAACCAATGCAGCTTGTGGAGCAGAAGTGTAACATGTGTTCTAGAAGCACACATAACTGCCTGCACTGCTGCATTTTATACCAGCTGCAGCTTCTAGATATTCCGGAAGGGCAGCTCCATATAGAATGCAATTTGCTGTTCACTGCCCACCTAGGATCATATGTTGATTTGATGACTATTAAGATGTAAGGAAGAGGATGGATGAACGGACGGATGGATGGACGGACAGACAGATAGATATGCTATCAAAGGATGATGGTAACAGATATCACCAAATATGACTTTTAATGTAGATATCTCAAATGTAATGATTTTTTTTTTTAATTTTTGCTGCAAATTACTGAGTCCTCTATTTATTTGTCCTGCACTTTCTTATAAATTGTTTCTCCTGTAAGTGCAACCGTTTGGGTATTTTTCATTTTTACTATAGAAACTCTCCTTAACATGTATTTAATTCACCTTTCAGTTCACTACTCCTCTAGTATTATTATTATGATATATTCTCAAGAGTGGCTTGGTAGCTTAGTGGTAAAGTCGGAAGGCTGAGAATTCAATCCTAGGTAGCAGCAGATGTTTCTCTCCTAGGGCACAAAGAAAAAATATTGGCTGCGAAATCTGTATCAGGAAGGGCATCTGACCAGTAAATGCTCATCTCCATCTAGTTGCTCTGAATCTATCCTAAACTAAAGGATTACAGGGTTGTAAAAAGGAATATTCTCAAGTTACTGTTTATATGTTGAGGTCATGGAATAAAACTGAGTAGTGTCTAGCCACTTTGCAATTTAATTAACAAACAAGATGTAAATAAAAGAAGAAAATCAGGGAAAAGACATGCATTCTTGAAAATGTACACATATCCAACAAAATCATTGTTTTGTTTTAGAAGTTCAAATAGGCAGAGACATCAGTTTTCAAATGAAGAGGACCTGGCCATTTTACAGCATATGAGACCACACATAAATTGTCACTGCTGAGTCAATTATCAATTATTATTTACATAGAATTATCCCCTCACATTTCATTAAGCATGTATTGAATAGCAATGGAAAAGGCAACTAATGCTGTTTTCTGCATCATTTCAATAATAAAGACTAAAAGAACTCGGTGCGGTTAGATAGAAAACAAAATAATATCAGTAAATCATGATCACAAATGTAAAAACGATCAATGTGGAACATGAAATGAAGTGATAGAAGGCTTGAGAAATATTTGTACCGTTTACTTCGGCTGTA